GCCTCCCAGATCTCCAGATGCATTTGAGATATCAAAAAAGTACTCCAGAGTGTTGTTCAGCATGGGGGTGAGTAGAAAATGAAGGTTAATCATGTTTTGGGTGTACTATTCCTTTAACTACAGGCGTTCATCCAGGTCCTGAAACAGCCATAACCCCAGTCCACCTCAATAAAAGCCTCACGGATCACCATGATGATTTTTGTGGAATTAAAGGTGGTTATTTTTCTTCTTTATAGTCAGTGGTCTGTTAAACTTTCCCCTAAAGGCAGAAGGAAGCTCTCTCTTAACCAAGAAAAATGAGACCTGGGTATTTAAGTGACCTCCTGGATGATTCATGGGAGATATTTGCGTTGGGTGGATAATTAACCCAGTTTAACAGCTCCCATTTTCCAAACAGATAAATTACATACTTAATGCCATCAGTAATTCAGTAATCATGACAGGGTATGGGTGGTGACATCAGCCTAATCTCTGCAACAGTTATGACTAATCACATTTCAACTAAACAAGAAGTCCTTTTTTTTTTTTTAACAAGAGTCCAGATTGGTTCAGCTTTTCTCCATTAATATGTTGTATCAAAATGTTAGTCTGTGACACGTCTATGTGTGACAAAAAGCAGGAAGTGAAGAAATCAGTTCTGGGAACATAACATTTTCACAGTATGGTGACAAATCTGAGAAGAGAACAAAAGAGAAGATCCTTTTCAAGAGGAAAAAAAAAACTGTCATCTGGTTTTATAACACAAGCTTAACATCTGACTTATGATCATGTTTCCTGAAATTTGAAGGTCATTGGAACATATCTAAACACCAGGAGTTCATTTAATGTACACCAGGGAGAAACCAACCGGACAGAGGGAAGGTAAAGATAGAATAATCAATCTAAATGTCTGTAAACGAGTGGAAGTTGTGACAGTCATCAGCAGAAGAAAAGCAGACTGGAGGCTGTGGGCCCAAGTCTCTCATGGAAAACTTTCTAAAGCTTACTGAGAAAATAAATACACAAAACTCATAGAAAATAAAAAAACAACAAACTCCGATTATGGGTGGGTCACTGATTTGCATCCAACTCTGAATGTGCCTACGACTGCGGGCCTCCAGGTGCTTAAAAACAACAACTCACATTTTGCACAGGCATGTTTAAAAGAAGTAAATAGTAAACATGACATTTGAATCTTTAGGATTGTTTTATTGTAAAACAAACAAAAAAGAAACATTTATATGTACGTCATCTTTCTTTCTTTCTTTTTTTTTTTTTTTAATCAAGGTGTTAAACTGCTCTGCTTTATAATTATTTAAATAAAAATCAAAAGCACCCGGAAGTACAGCCTTGCTAATTGGATCTCTGATTGCTTTAACTCTTTTACTAATTGTAATGACATTTACTTAATTTACCAACTGTATTAAAAAAAATTTTCATTCTTAAGCAACCAGCATCATCAATTAATATGAAAGGGCAACACATAGTTTATACATTTGCAACTTTTTAACTATAAATCACATTTTAGTAACTCTAATAATCAGCTTAAAAAACAAAAGACTAAAATTTTTTCAGACTGAAGGGGAATCAGATTTATTTTACTTTGTTATCCAATTTTTAAGTCTCTTCTCTCTGGATGTGTTTGAATTTGGTTTGAATCCTACAGTGTTTGTGTATGTGACCTAATGGAATTAAAACATTTTAACAAATCTTTCAGTACCAGATAAATGGATATTGTTTGAAATAATAGTCAAGCAACAGATGCCCTGGATCATTTCTATGTGCTCTGCTTACCACATATGATGCAAATATAAGGACCCTCTTATGTCTCCCACAAGGCCAACAAGGATCACTGAGAAGGTTCGGGTCATAATCCGCCACCTCCTCTATATCTGCAACACATAACCCAGCAAACGATTAGATGTGGTGAAAAAGTGCAAAAGCAGCAGGCGTGTGCATGTGTGTGCAAACGTACATGTGTTCATACAGGAGTCTTGTGCTGTGCCGCTGTTTGGACGAGCCGGGGTAAAGCCTTTTTGCCCGTTGGCACGGAAACGACACTGAGGGGTCTGAACGGTGCTGCTGTCCAGCACAGTGCTGCTCTTCTGTCTGACCAGTGCGTTTGTTGGGTAGAGAAACTGAGCGTAGGACACCGTCTAAAGAGGAGGAAGGACAACTTTGGTTAATGGAGTAGTTACAGAGCTCTGGAACATTTGTTCATTGACACAACAGGTTAATTTTTAGAACCCGTTTTCAAAGTTTAGCTCAAATACTAATACTGACAAAAATAAAGGACTTTAAAAGCAGGAACTGGATGCAAAATATTGAATTTATCATGTATTTATCCAATCCTCAGTAGTGTTAAGGCTCAAATGTATGCATACAGCACCTACCAAACATTTGGATAAATGTCCCTTATTTTATATCCATCAAGAAGTTCCCAGCATGATTAAGCCCAATCATGTTTATGGCAGTTTTTCTATTTTTATTTAAACAGGTGGTTGTGTTTTTATATAGATCATCCTCTTACCTCAATATGTCTTTTTACTAATAACTGTTTAAAATATTTTCACCTTTCTTAGATGTTTTTCTCCCATTTGTTATTTTTTCTTCTTCTTTTTAACTGTATGCTTTCTTCTGCCTGTTTCTTTTTCCTCTTTGGGACTATAAAGGCATTTTATTCCATAAAATAAAATAAAAATCTGTCTAGGTAAACATGACACTCTTTGTAATAAAACCTAATTTTGATTTAGAGAGCTCACAAGAAATCTGCCTTACTTGTGCAGAAGTTATACATTTTGTAAAAGATTATAATTTTATATAGAAACATTAGGGATGCATTGAAATGAAAATCTTTGGCCAAAACAGAAAACCAAAAAATTAGGAAACCGAGGCCAAAAACTGAAACACCAAAAGAAATTATGTCAGAAATTAGAATCATAGCATTTTTTGCTATAAGTACTAACCCTATTTAAAAAAATCCTTTTTGAAACCAAGGCATTTCAATAAATCAATTACAGAAGTATCAAAACATTTATTTACCTCTGCCATCCTTTCATTATGCCCCTTTTTCTTGGCAGCATCATTTGGAAACTTTGTTGTATTTTCAAACACGTTTGCCGCAGACAGAGTGGGCATTTCCAGTGTCGGTTTCCTTTTTTGTGTGCCGTTGTTCTCATATTCATAAAGGTGATGGGGATGTTTGGATTTCTGTGACATTTTGTGCCACTGGCCTGAGCCCGCAGTGAGACCAATGTGCAGCATTCAAAGTGTCTCAAAACCAGCCTGCCGCACTTTCAACTCTGAAAAACTCTGCTCTGCTACTAGGCTTGTCCCGATCCGATCCACGTATCGGATCCACGTATCGGATCGGGACGCCGATATTGGCAAAAAAATGCGTATCGGCAAAGCATGTAAAATGCCGATCCAGTTTTTTTAAAA